TTTATTTAATACAATAGACCCTTTCCAATGTTTTCCCATTGCAGACCACGTGTCATTCTCTTGAGTATCATTTATTTATTTAATACAATAGACCCATTCCAATGTTTTCCCATTGCAGACCACTGTCATACCTTAGAGTATTGTTTCGTTTAACGGTTGTGCATAAGAAGACACATGAATATGGATACAACTCAACAAAGAATCTTATTCTCGAGGGAGCGACACGTGATCTGAAATGGGCAAATATTACGTAGATTATATCCATTGAATATAGAAGAAGTCACTTGATTGTAAGACAGCAAGACCTGAACTCCATTCACTTTTTGCAGATTTTTCAGGTTCAACCCATGTTAACGTCATTAGTCAACGAGTCAGAAGATCTTCAGGTGAGAAAAAAATCTGTTTGGAATACCTCTGGTATAAGGGAATAAAGAAAAAGACAATACTCAACAGAAAAATACGCGGTGTGAATGGAAAAAATACTACTTGGATCATATCTCTTTAATCTGGTCTCGCGTCTATTTTTTTAAGCATCATCTTGAATTGGAAAACATTGCGTCCTTTCTTTATTTATTCGGTCAGTCAATCGGTTGGTCAGTCAGTCAGACAGACAGACAGACGGACAGACACAGACTTCCATGGTATGAAAATATGTTGGTAATTTCCACTTCTAACAGATTTCCAGCGCGCGCAATTTTTCTAGTTAAAGCACAAAGAACCATACAAACGAATATGAGACATACAAATAACGAGATAACGAGAGACGACAGAGAAACAACTATAAAGAACCACTTGGTGATGCTGTAGAAGTAACCCCTAGACACCTGGCAATGAATCACCGTTTCTTTTGATCCAATTTTCACTCAAGTCACTGTGTTGTCATTTTCAATTATTTTAGTTGCCCACGTAGCACTTAGCAGCTTCTAGTTTAAGGGCTACAGTGGTATATACGTGATAATTCTAGTACTAGTAATGCTCCAAGGATAAAAGACATTGTTCACCATCTGGTCGTGGCATTGATGTGAACCAAGGATATTGAGAGCTTTCAAGCTGTGACGTATTTTCGGGTCACAAAAAACAGTAAAATAAAGCGTAAAGTGTTCTCAATGATTCAACTTGAAACAATTAGAACTTTGAAAAAAATTCCTTTCCTGAAGAAAAAGTAAGAACATCTTTTATAGAACTACTTTTCGTTTTGGACCCGTAAATCGTTTTTAAAGTGCGTTTGGCGTAACACTTAAAAGCTATGTTGATGTAAATCGGTTCTTTAAGTTCTTAATGCGCTATAAGTTATTTCAAATGACATGACAAATGACACCTTGCAGAGGCAAGCAAATGTACACGCCGTTGTGAAATATATTATTATTGAATACATTACCTCGTCTTCTGTCCTGGCCATATTTTCTTATTTTGTTACCAAATTTCGACGTACTACTGTAAACCTACGAAAATAAGCCCCGGGCTCAACATCATCACCATCATTATCAGCAGCAGCATCAACATCATCACCATCAGTTTCCATCAGCATCATCAGCATCAGCATCATCCATCAGCAGCAGCATCACCATGAGTATCCATCACCACTATCATCAGTATCCATCATCAACATCATCCATCAGCTGCAGCAACACCATCATCAGCCGCAGCATTACCATCACCATCAGTACCCATCATCGTTATCACAGTCATCCTCACAATTATTCTCATGCATCTAAATCTAGTTCTTTCTTTTCCCCTTTAGAACTAAAACAGTGCATTCCAGGAACACCAGATTGCGCCTATGTCGTATGTGGAGGGTGGTTCCTATGGTTACCTACCACGACGCACTGGGGCTGCTGTAACGGCGTCATCCACAACCTTACGTCATCGTACTGTGAAGCAAACATGGGAGTGAGAGTGAAGCAATGCACCAAGAATGACTTCCGCTGCAACAACCAACATTGCTTACCAAGATATTGGGTCTGCAACGACTACAACGACTGCCAAGACGGAAGCGACCAAGTAGGGTGTCTAAAATGTGGAAATTCTACGCTGCACTTTCAATGCAAAAACGGCAATTGCATCGACAAGAATCGCGTGTGTGACACGTATAACGACTGTGGAGATGGATCGGATGAGATGTTTTGTAGGTTCTCTTTTATGATGGGTTGGTGTGGGTCGATGGAGTATAGGTGTCCTAACGAGAGGTGTGTGAGTGGAGCGAAGCTGTGTGATGGGAGAAATGATTGTGGCGACGATTCTGATGAACAAGGATGTTTCAAAGGTGAGTGCGTTTGTCATCCAACTTTTAACTTAACATTTCTACTCTTTTTTTTTTCTTTTTCTTTGTGGTGGCGATGGTGGTGATTAGGATGATTCTGATGGTGATGATGATGATGCGGATGCTGATAATGATGACGATGGTATAGACGATTGCGGTTGTGGTGTTGATGATAATAATAATTATGATATTGATGATAATGATATTCCGGTGATGATAATGATAGTGGTGTTGATGATTGCGGTGGTGCTAATGATCATTATAATAATAACCAGGGGCGTAGCCAGGATTCTCCGAAGAGGGGGCAAACTCAAAAACCCGCTATTTTCTTTAAGCTCCCAAAACGCCGAACCAAAAAAACCGGCATTGCGTTTTAATTTTACAAAAATAAAAAGCCATTTGAAAATTACCGTACGAATTCTAAGAAGCCGCCATTTTGTTGCCACGCAGGGAAGGTCTGACCCCCTTGGCTTATCACTGCTTACGCCCCTATTCATGATGTAATAATATTGGTGGTGATGATGATAATGATGAAGTTGATGACGATGATTGGGATATTTGATAATGCTAAAAGTGATGATCATATCCTAGATTCAAGTAAAAAGTGCCCCGATGGCTGGACCTTCCTCAACCAACGCTGCTACAAAATCGAATACCAACTCTTCCCATGGTCGACGGCACAGGCCACGTGCGCATCCAACGGAGGTCACCTGACCAAAATTACATCACAAGAAGAAGAGGACACACTCAAGAATCTTATCACATCCCAACATAGTGGATCTTTATCCTTCTGGATCGGTCTGTCCAGGGGCGCGTCGCAGGGCTTTCAGTGGACAGATTCTGTGGCAGTTGGAAAGTACACGTCCTGGGAGTATGGAGAGCCCAGTGTCGGAAAAAACTGCGTTAGTTTGATAAACAATACCATGAAATGGCGCGCTGAGAACTGTGATTTGGGTATCCCATTTATTTGTACGAGAGGTAAGTATCTAGATACTTCGTTAATTGTATAGAACCTGGCGTAATGTTTTCCCATTTCAGACCACGTGTCATTCTCTTGAGAATGAGATTTTTTTCTTTTAAATTAAAATTAAAATTGATTTGTATCCATATTTATGTGTCTTCTCATGTGCAACCGTTAACAAAGAAATGATGCTCTAGGGAATGGTACGTGGTCTAAAGTGAGAAACAAGGTAAAAAGGTATATTCTTTAATAATCATCTATTTATCGTCTTGGTTTGTCTAGATTCACTGTGTAAGCACAATTGTCAGAACAAAGGCACCTGTCAATCATCAAGATGTGTCTGTGCAGCTGATTGGTCAGGAGAGGACTGCTCTTTCAGTGAGTATTACTTTATTAAGTCTTACAATAACTTTATCCGTTCAAATGATACTGTAGCTGGATGTCCTTGATCTTAATCCATTTGTTACTGAGGTTATCTCTGTAGTGGTCACTTGGCTCTGATCTGCAAAGCCACAATAGACCCCTTGAAGCACGTCGGAATTGCCATATTTCATAATGACGTCACGGTTTGTTTACATCGGCTAAAAAGATAGAAATTTAGGCTAAATTTAAGCTTAATTCTCTTCTTTCGAGATATTTAGTGTAATATTTAGTTGTTCTTGCCTTCACCAGCACATAAACCAAATTTAAGATGTTTTGTTGTCATTCCATCCCCCTCCAGCGACCATGATCCCTAGCGTTAAAACAATAGTTTGTTTTGATAAAAAGATATAACTAGCTAAAAACTAGTGTGAGCTGCGTCGGTGTTTCTAATGAAACAGTAATGATGAAAAGGTAAATTATACACCGTGACAAGATGAAACAACTTACTGACGTTTCGGACGCTAGTCCTTCGTCGGAGTAAAAGAGAAAGAAGTGGTAGAAAGGAGTGTATATATGATAGAATAAGACAAAAG